ACACACACACACACACACACACACACACACACACACAGTTTCACTCGTTTTTACCAAGTCAGGATTTCAGTAGTTAAAGATGGAGGATACTAATAATAATTATGATAGTTTAAAAGTATATAATATCTTAAAGTTTGTAAACTCACACCTAAGTTATCTCATTTAATCCTCACAACTCTCCTGTGAGGTAGAAAAGGCATTTGAGGCATGTGTGTGTGTATAAATGTGTATATATACATCTGTGAGAGTTATGGAAAATAATTGTTAGGTATAAAATAGTATATATTCAGTTAATGATCTTTTATATATGTGTGTATGTTTACTTATTTATTTTAGATTTCCATTTTCATAAATCCCATATTCATACATAACTTAGCATCTTCCCTAGCATTTAACAGTCTTCTATACAAATAGACACTTAACAAGTATATGGTATAGTGTGTGTGTGTGTGTGTGTGTGTGTGAGCGAGCACAGTGGATAGAGTGCCGGGCCTGAGGTCAGATCTGGCTTCAGATACATACTAGCTGTGTGACCCTAGGCAAGTCACCTAACCCTGTTTGCCTCAGTTTCCTCTTCTGTAAAATGAGCTGGAGAAGGAAATAGCAAACCACTCCAGTATCTTTGCCAAGAAAGCCCCAAGTGGGGTCACAGAGTTGGACATGACTGAAACAACTGAACAACTACACACATATACATGTATTTATAAACACATATATGCATATATATAAATACACATATATACATACATATACCTATGTATAAATAGTTGTATATATGCACATATCTATAAAAGGAAGAGATAGAGATGTGTATGCCCGAGAATAACTAAGGCAGACCAATAGAGACTTTGGCTCACAATCCCAAAATTTATAGGACACTAAAATTTAAGATAATGATTCTAACAGAAGGTACAATTTAAAATTTTATTATGCTTCCATTCTGATCTAGAAAGTTATCGGATGACCTGCTTCCTTTTCCCATCTTTACCTCCCCAACCTTGAACTGTGTGTCTCCTGAAAGTTGCCTCCTAAGAAGCAGCCTTATAGTGTTTCAGGGTCTCCCAGACCCATTGTTGCTAATTCAAGGGAGTTTTTTAGTGATACTTACCTTTAGTGCCTGTTTATTTTTGCTTGCTTCATTCACCCAAAATATTCTGATGGGTAGTTTAATTCTTCATAAAGTTTCTTCATTGTTTCTTCAGTGTGAATTCTCCCTCCACTGATACAAATTACAGTCCTGAGCCCCAGGAGACAGAATGTATAAGTTGCTATTGCCAAAACAAAACATTACCTAGTAACCAGCCTTTATATAGCGGAGCTTTTCAAACTTTTCTAGGTTAGTCCTCAGTTGACAGAAACAGCCCAACACAAAGACCATTCTGTAAGCCTTTCCAGCTAAATAGAATATAATGTTTTATGAGCAAAGCCTTAGAGTCACTTCCATACCACAACGAGGCATCAGAGCCAGACTATGGTGGGATGTGTCTTCCTGTGTATGTGTATGAAATGAATATATGATAAGAAACAGTATTACATGTATAAATGTTTAATCTATGAGTAGTTCACATATGCTATCTCCAACCCCATACTTGTACAAAGATTCATTAAAGATGGCATTCTTGCATTGTTGGGAAGAATAGGCATCACCTTTTGACTGACTCAAAATAAGTAGTACAAGTTACAGAATCTTAGTTTCCTGACATAATATAATAAACGATCTTTCTACCTTCCATTTTTTATATGAAAGAAGGAAATGAATGAAACATATAAAATAACTGTTAATCTTCTGCAGTGAACTATGGAATATTAACATTTGACTTCTAAGAGAAAATCGTCCTTATAAACATTGATTTTACTTTTTGTATCTAAGTGTGAGATACTTGTCCAAGGAACTATGAATTAACATATGACTATAGGAAGACTATAGAAAGTTAATTGGGTAAGTATTGACATATCCTCAAAGAAAGAAATAAAGTCATTAGTTTCATCGGGTACCCAAATGCAACAATTTTTATTTCATGAGACGAATAATAATGTTGCCCTAAAGTGCTAATGAAAAACGTAAGCAAAGACCAGTGTCTTGATAATTACAGCTTGTGAGATAAGGCCTGTTAAAGAGAAATTCTATGGTAAACTTGAAAAGAATCCCCAAACCAAGTCAACATACACGCTTATATTCAGTAATTTCAGTGGACAGGGGTAGATAACAAAAATATGTANCCTGTTAAAGAGAAATTCTATGGTAAACTTGAAAAGAATCCCCAAACCAAGTCAACATACATGCTTATATTCAGTAATTTCAGTGGACAGGGGTAGATAACAAAAATATGTAAAAAAAAAAAGTTTTAGTATTGGGAAATAAAAGATGCTAAAGGCTATTCAAAAGTCTTCACACCTGAATATCATGAATACTTTCCTCTAACAAAAAAAAATTTCCCATGGATTTCCCAACCTTCACTAGATCCTGCTGCCTATGCTCTAGTCTTTCCAAATAACCCAGAACTCAAATTTCTACTTCCTTGGCCCCCCAGGCTTTTGAAAGGTTATTAGTCACCTTATTTTTCCTGGACCTAGCCCCTCCACATCTCAAAGGCCCTACGTCCCTATCCAAGGACAATCTTGTTTGCTTTTGTTTTTGTCCTTAGCACTTAGGAAATTTTTTTTTAATTATTATTAATTCATTAATTCATAAGATGATACAAGATCATTTGATGACTGCCACACAAGACTCATTATCAAATCATTTGAGACATAAAACAGGGAGAAATATGCTCACCAAAGATATTCATCACTACCATGGAAAATACATTCTAGAGATTGCAAAAGGAAAAATAATTCTCTTTTTATGATGAGGTCCTCCAGATGTTCTTGTTCACAGGTGGTATTAAACCAATTCCACTAAGCAACAGAATAGGAACTTGATAATGAGATATACAACCACTCAGAAGAGGTTGCCTATCCAATCCAAACAGGGGGAAAGATAGAGAATTCTTATTTACTAGACTTGTTAGCCCGGTATTCGTACCATCTGTCACATACATCTTCTCTCCATTCATACTATGATGAACCTAATTCAGAACCTCATCATCCTTTGCCTAGACTTCCATAATAGCATCCAATTTGGTCTAACAGCCTTGAGTCTTTCTCTAATTCAATAGCATCTCCAACCAGTCACTAGATTGAATTACTAAAGCATTGGTCTGATCATCCCATACCACTTCTACTGAAAAATTTTATTTTCTCCACATTACCTCTAGAATCAAATATGAATTCCTCTGGTATTTAAATCTCTTCAAAATCATCCCCTTCTGACCTTCCCAATTTTGTTACACATTATCACCCTCCATGTAGTCTACAACACAGCCCTACTAAATACGTGCACTTCCTCACATTCCTCCTCATACCTTTGTACTAGCTGTCCTCTATGCTTGCAAGGCAGTCCTACCTCACTTTTGCCTCTTAAAATTCCTGGCTTCCTATAAGATTCAGCTGAAATGTAATCTGCTGAAATAGGCCCTTTTTTTGGTCCTCTACCCCAGATGCCAATGCTTTCTTCTTCAAAGTTGTCTTGTATTTAATTTTTAAATATTTGTACATACCTGTTTATGAACATGTCTTCTCCATTAAAACATGCATCCTTTGGGAGCAGAGACTATTTTTATCTTTTTATCTCCAGCACTTAACACTATGCCTGACATGTACTAAGCACTTTAAAATGTGTATTGATTAATTCAGTTGGATGTGAAGCCCATTGATGTGATCCATCAGAATGTTGAATTGACATTGCATATGGACATTGAACAGGGCCTAGAATTAAATGAGAGGAAGAGAGTAGACTGGATTACATTTGTGAAAATGCATGAGAAAAAAATTCTAAAGAAAAAAAAGGGTGAAAAAGAGAAAGAAAAAACAAAAAGGGGAAAGGAAGGGAAAAGAAAGCAAGGGAAAAGGAGTGAAGGAGAGGGAAAGAATCTTTCTTTTTATTAACAAATTCTGATGCAAATATATCTACAAACCATGAAACACCACAGTCTTGAAAGACTCAAAATTCAGAATTACCCACAAGGTAACATAAAGATGTATTGTGAATATAAATAGACTAGAGACATGTTCTCATTGATGGAAGAAATGGCTTAAGAGAGATCAGGAAATGTACGATTAGAAAAGGAAATTGGCCAGTCACAGAACAAGAGCAAAGGAAAACAAATGGACATTTCTAATGTTGCACTGGTAGCCACAGAATGATTTAAAAAAAAAACCTAGATGAAAGCCTCTAGCACATTGGATAGATCTTTCCATCATCTTGGAGCTTTCTTCCAGGTCTTTTAACATTCAGTGATAGTAACAGCTGTCCGTGTTACTTCTCATTTTGCATGACCCTCCCACCCTCAATTTCTGAATATCTTTCATACAGCTTTTATAGCATGATGCAGTCTACTTAGTCTACCCACCACTTCTTTCCCCATTGAGTTTTGGATCATTTGCAGTTTGTATTCTTTGAGATTTGCAATATTCCACGGTATGTAGCCATATACCATCACTGAAAGAATGTATTTTTTTTTAA